TTCTTAAAATATTCTTAAAAATATTACCATAAAGGTTTTTAAACCATTTTAAAATATTCCTAAAACTATTTTAAAATGTTTCTTGCAATATTTTTATAGAAATATTTAGAAATATTTTTTGAAAACATTTTGTGCTGTATGTGATACATCAAACTTAATTTAATACATATTTGAAAATTTTGTTTTCTCAAAATCAGATGCCACATTCACATTCACGCTAGAATAGATATTCATAATTCGACCTTATATTCAAGATTGTCTTAAATATTATCTTGATTACATTATGCGGTCATTTCATTGATTGTATGGAGTCTTAAGGTGATCTTGAATATAAAAAAATTTGGACTATGTCAGATCTTATATTTAAGACCGTCTTAAGTACGATCTTAAGATGTTATGAAGCAATCACAGAGCCGTATTAGCATCTTAAAGGCTGATTTATGATGGCCGTTCATTTAAGCCGTAATCTTTAAGAAATTGACCAATCACAGTCGAATGTATGAGAAGAATAATCGACTGTGATTGGTCTATTTTTTAGGGCCTACGGCTTAAATCAACGGTTAGTCCTTATCTACAATAGGTGTTTTAAGCCCTAAGCCTTAAGAAATTGTTCAATCACAGTTAAATTTGAAGAGAATAATTGACTGTGATTGGTCAATTTCTTATGGCTTAGGGCTTAAAACACCTGTTATAGATGGGCACTTATTACGGCCATCATAAATCAGCCTTAGACATTACTTAAGACACTCTTGAAATAAGATCCGACTATAAATACGAGCCTATGAATACTGCCCTAGAGATTTCAATATGTCATCTATTCTTCATTTCTCATCACGTGATTTACTTTAGTTCGCCGCTTCTAGAACTATATAGCGTTGTGATGTTGAAAATTTCTTCTACTATATAAGATACCTTATATTGTGATGAATTATATATATGATAGGTTTATTATGCGTAAATACTGACTGTTCGTCTCTTCTTTGTCAAGCGTCGGTGTGCACATTCCGTTTTTCTTAAGGATATCGATCAGATCAAATCGAAAACTCGAAATGTCCTGACGAATTTCCCTAACATCATCCTCCGTAATACCAAACTCATCTCGTTTCCTTTGTTCAGCTGTCACGTAACGACGTATAAGTAGACGCACTATGGTATCGTGTCTGGCTAAAGCTTTTTCTCGAGACTTTTTCTGAAATAAAATATTTTAAATTTTTATTTAAGTGGGTGTTTAGGAGAGATCGGGGCTAAACCTTCAACGGAGTTGAACCATCAAATCAAATATCTTGGAACCTGTATATTGTGCGAACTCGCTATTATCATTGTAAACGCTGCTTATGGTACCCATGGGACCAACGGAGTTTCGGCAGGTTACCTGCCGTGTTATGATTTTTACGAGGGCAAACGTGTTTTTTTGGTGAAAAGTGAAATTTTCTGCGCGTGGAAATTTTGTAATATCTGCAATAATATTTGCTCTCCAAATCTCGAGGTACGTGATTATAAATGCATGCTGATTATAAAAGTAATGCATGCTGAACACGAATCCAATGTAGATGTCTAATATTTCATGGGCGATCAAACCTGAAACTGATTTATCCCGGGGGGTGACGGTTAAACCCCGGAATTTTTGAGATTTTAATTTTTTCACCGTTGTCGTTTTTGCTCTATACCGGTTAAACAAAGCGACGTAAATAAAAATTTCCTATATAAATTTTGTAGCTAAAGGTTCATTCTTTACAGTGGTATACCATATTTAACTAAAATTATTTATTTTGTTGTTAAAAATCGGCACCAAAAAAAAACTGACGGTTTAGCCCCGGTTTCCCCTACTCTAAAATAATCACGTTTTTTCAGGTATACAAGCTCTCTCTCTATGATAGGCTATGATAAACAGATTGTGACATATAATATGTTTTTACTAGATGTAATATTATATTCTAAAACTACCAAAATTTTATCTAATCTCTTTTACATCTAATTTGAAAATGACTTTTTTTTAAATAAAAATATGTGATAATTATCATTTATCACATTTTCCAAATTTTAACATTTCTACATTGTCGAACTAAATTTTAAGACTATTAAATGATAGTATTATTAATATTACAAGTGCATTAAATAATTCTAATGTCACGTTTGTTTCTGTTATTTTATTTACTGTCATTTTTTAGATTTTAACATTGTATGCCATTAAAAATAAGTTTTTAATTAAAAGTTTATTAAAGTCCATCTAAAATTGATTGAAGAATACATTGTTGTGATTCTTTTTAATAGAATAAGAGCAAAGTTCGCCAAAAGCTTCTTATTTACAATCGTCAAACCTGATTATATACAAACATAGTATTAGTACTACATACCCCCGATAGGAAAATGATGCAAATTTTGTATAAAAACCTACATAGCATGTACCACAGTAATATTACAGCAATATTATTTTTCCATTGCAATATTACAATGAAATATAGCAGAAATATTGCAGAAACTGAGATATCACAATAATATTAAAATGCCTGCGAAAACGTATCACATAATGGTGATTTATTACAGTAATATTTACGTAATGTTTGCGTGATATTTACGTAACATTTGTGTGATATTTATGTAATATTTATATAATATTGCTAGGAATATAACCATTTTAATACATTTTATTAAATTTTATTGAATTGTTATTTTTAATAATATTGTTACGAACTAAAAAGTTATAAAACTAAATATCACTTAAAAATTTTTCTTAAATTCTATGTATATAGTTATGTATACTGGAGTTTCCGAGAACTTAGATAAAGTTTGAAACTTCATTATTGGCAGAATAAATAAACAGAAGAGATAGGACTATCTTGTAAAAAAAATTTGAAGTCTTCAGTAGTTTGCAACTGCGAAAGCAATTGTCTGCTTGATTTGGAATAATTAACACTTAAAATAAGTCTGGAATTTCTCAAAAAACATGTATATATAACATTTACGTTTCGACCTACTTGGTCTTTTTCAGAACGTTATAATCGATAAAATTACATTAATAAATTACGCAAAATAGATATAAAAGATTGAGAGAAACAATGGCTGATGGTCAAATTTAAAAAAATTGCATTACAATAAAAGAGTTATAACAATTTTCGTCGTTGGACAAGCGCGAAATTGAAGATCCAAAATTTAAGAAAGTTCAAAGTGATGTGAGAACTGACTTATTGATCGCTGTGAGAATACAAAGAAGAAAATTATTTGAATACCTGAGTCAAATCTGAATTTAAAGTAATAAACTTACATAGGTGGTTATATCACGTGAAACGAAAAAGAAAAAGAAAAAGAAAGTATATTTAAGTTTATAAAATTCAGTACAAAGATAAATTTATTATTTGCCAATGTTACATACAATTGTATCTTTCCAAGAACAACATGTATAAATTAATTTTAATAAAATTTTAGTAAAATAATATTTTTTAAATAATATTTTTATTAAATTTCAACAATATATTGTATCAACATTACTGTAATATTTCAATATTATTTATAAATGTGTAATATATTAGTAATATTTCTGTAATGTTTCATTGTAATACGTAATATTTCGACTATATGGCAATATTACTGCAAAATTTATGTAATATTACGTGCTATGTGGGAATTGCATTACGACATGAAGGAATTTCACAATAATTGTATTAAGATATCTTATGATTCGCCATAACGCTGCGGAATGAAGTTTCTAAATAATATTTGCCTTAAAATTAATAAACGACGACAATTCCGAATGCGAACGAATACTTTCGAAGACTTGTTTCGTGTACCCGACGAAAACCGATGGATTCTTTATTTAAAACTTTGCCATACTGATTATGTAATATTTCATGTTATAATATTTAAAAATTTAAAAATTTTAGAATAATTGTACATTTTTTAAATCATATTGATTTATTTTATTTATTCTTTTTTACAATTTTATATCAGAATTTTATATTTGAAAAATAATAAAACTCAAATATATTTCTCAATTATTAGGTAATTTCTTTCTAAACTTAATTTTACAAATATTCCGCTAAGACTATTTGCCACAACGCTGCTGTTTTGTTGAAATACTATTTAGAAATAAATTGTGCAAACATTTATCAATATTTTATGTAAGGTATTTTCTGCAAGTATTGTTCTAAGCATTGAGACATAATTGTAGCATTCCAAATATCACGGTAAGTTTCGTTAAAAATGTGGATTGTGAAAAAAAGTGATTAAATGAAAATTGATTAATGAAAAGATTATGAAAAACACTCTAGATGTATAAAAATTATTTACTATAAAAGATCTTGTGGAACGACCACTGCCTCCACATTTAAATAATTTTTGGAAAGTTTTATTCGTCGGAATCATATTAAATGGCGATGGTACGATATCACCATCCTCGAAATAACTCATCCATAAATGGCTCCTGGCAAATTTCCATTCTGTGTCAGATCTTTCCTAAAAATATACATATCAGTATATATCGATAACGTGATATTAACACGTGATATTAAATGCCAATTTTTTGGTAGATTTAACGAAGAATACTGTGCAAAATAAAATAAAATATTTATTTATTGATATAAGTTTTGATATCTTAGAAAATTAATGATTCTACCGAAATGATTTGATATGAATTAGACATCATAGCGATCAGCATATTTAACAGCACAATGACGTTTATTACGGAGTAAGAACCGAACATGAGGAGTGCCCAGAATCGTGTGAAGCTCTTAATGCCCGTCAAGTCGAACGACATTAAATCGACCATGCCGAAACTTGCCCAAAAGAGAGATTGCGATGTCTCGAACAAGCTAAAAGCATGAATCAAATTTCAATATCTTTCGCCTAAAGAGTTAGATATACTTGACCTCCATACTTGGCGAATCTCCTCCATATGGAGCAGGCTTTCTCCTGATTGTCAAAATCTGGCAATTCATCCGACTCGTGATAACATTTTTTCTTCTCTAAATCCGCATAATACCACATCAACTGATTCATGCCTGCAAACAAAATGTGGGGTTTATAACAAAATGTTGTCCTACCATTTATTCTACTTTGCATCGATTGCATTGAACCAAAAGATTAATAGTCTTGTCTGAAAAGTAAAAGTGGGATGATTTTTCGATTAATACGTGTGACAAGGCTCGCGAATAAACAACGAAGCTCCGACGTATAAATAAGTAATTAGGAAGCGCGATACTTACCGCAGCCAAAGGCAAACAGCACCAAGGTGTAGATAAAAAAGAACTTGATAATGTCTATTATCATTCTCCCGAGGGAAATCTGGAGTGGGCCGAGATGAGGATTCACGCTGAATATATGAACAAGTTTTAAAAAGCTGAAACACGTCCATGCATATGACATGCGCGTTGAATATTAGTCGGTAAGAAACATTTCCTAAACGTTTAGAAATTACGTAAGAAGGTTAACGGCCTAAAATATGAGCACAAAAATAAGGATGTTGGTTTAAAATAAAATCTAGTTTTTATTAACAATGGTATATTAGAAACAGTTAATCGTTTCGACTTTCCTGGGAAAAAAAACCCAATCCCTTATAGAAATTTAATATTGTAAGTGATTTTTTGGCTAGTGATTAATCATTTAAAAGCACTATTAAAAGCACTATTAACAGTGCTTTTAATAGTACTTTTAAGTGATTAATTACTAGCCAAAAAATCACTTACAGTATTAAATTTTTATAAGGGATGTTTTATATGTTCATATAAGAAACGGTCTTATATGCTTATATATGAATTTTGGCCGCATTTAAGTATATAAGATCTTATATGGTCATATATAATTATATAAGATTATATAAGGACATATAAAAAATATCTCTTATAGTGTGTTATATGCTCATATAAGAAGCTATCTTATCATATATGAATTTTGGCCCGATAAGAGTTTACATGGTCATATATGATTATATAAGATTATATATAAGGACATATATATTTTTAAAGCTCCTGGTCCCTGAGCCGAAAACTCTGCGTTGACGGTGGCGCCGTACCGTCGCGGCAGAAATAATAACTCTCTCCTCTCACTCTCTCTAATGGAGAATTCTGTCTTGTGACATGTTGACAACCTATTTTGCGTTGCGTTAAATTTCTTTATTATTCGCTCTGTACTTGTGCTATAACGTTTAACGTATTCGTGAAACTCGTAAAATTGACCGTATGGTAAGATTTGCAAGAAATACATATGCGGAAGGAACATTCTCCACTCCTTTCGATAGTCGAAAACGGCTTGTTTTTCCGTATGTTTAGGCTTCGTTTTATGGCTGTTTGTTTATTGTCGAGGGAAAAGGATAGTATCCGGTCAATTTTAGAAGTGTGCTGAAACAATCTATAGTAATTTTTTATTGAAATGTTTTTTTATTTCGGAAAATACCGCAACATAAAATAGGGTAATTTCTCGCCTCAATAGCAAGAAATTCAATATGGCTGCGGTGACTACCCAGGAACCTTAAATAGGTTTTAGAAAATTGTTATATATTTTCAAATGTTATTTTTTAAGCGTGCCACTTTATTATAAGAGTGGACTTCACGATATAACTGATAAAAAAATTGTGTCGCTCCAAGACTGCAGCGTCGCGCGAGAATAGCGCGAGACAGTGTCGTGTCTTTTTGATGCCGTTCTTATAACACTGTTTGTTAAATTTTAAATACGAGAAACAGATCACATCGAATGCCATCTATCGGATACTTTGAGATGCAATATTCTGATCTGATCATATATAATCTTATATGACTATATCATTTCATTATACGATTATATTATTGTCAGTTTAAATTATAAAGTATGTTTGCAAAATAATACGATTAATATATTTGTTTATAAGAACTATAATATATATTATATAACAGTTTTTTTTTACGAATTATTAGTGGTAATTTTACTGTTTATTATTTATTGGGGACCTAAGTCGTCTACAGACGATTCCGAGTCTCGACATCGAACTCATGTTCGACCGTTAGACGCCGTGCCGTCGTAAGCGGTGAGATCTCGACGACGGGCAGAGGCGCCGTACGGCAAACCGGGCTCGTGCGACGACCGGCCCGCGAGGGGACCGGCCGCCTATAGTAGGGGAGCCCAATGGGGGATTTGGTGATTTACTCGAGCGCGACAGATTAACATATAGGGGGATACCTTGCACCCTGTTGAGTACCTCCACTATATATAAGCTCTTAATATAGGATCGCGCGTCTAGGGCAGCCGATCAGAATAGTAAAAAAAAATCGATCGTTAAAAATACTCGAGCGCGTCAGATTAAGGTAAGGTGGGTTAATAACATGCATTGTGCATTTCAATAATCTGACGATTTGAGCGTGACATAAGGGAGTGGGAGGGTCACAAACTTGCAAAAAAAAAAACGTCACCTTGACATTCTCGAGCGCGGTCGAATTTTTTTTTATTTTGAAGGAAATAATTCAAGAATAACGGAAAAAATATAATCTGCCGATTTCCACAAGCCGAAGTAGCACAAATCGTCAGAAAAGTT